AACTAGTTCTGTTGGGCACGGAGTGAATACAGACAAGGAGTGGGATTTTTCTTTGCGTTCAGTGTGACTTAACTCTTGTTGAAATTAGGGGTGAAATTCTTGTTGCTTTCAGTGCTGCCAGACAGTCCTGACCTCTTTTGCAAATCTCACCCCACATTCTTTCAGTTGTTTCCAGCTGATTTTGTGGGAATTCTGGAGGATTGGTCTTTCAGTCCTGGGCATATCTTCATGTTGCAGTATAATTCACAGCACTGTATTTCCTTTTTCCATCTGCTCCCCTACCCCCATTCAGTGTTTTTTCATCCGTCTTACGTCCATCCATTTTTCTACTCTGATAACTGTTTGGGATTTAAAGGTTTTTCCCTTTTCTTTCCCTGCCTGTACCACTGCTCCCTGAGAGCTCCATGTTAACTGAGGTACCTGTCTGTCCGGTGAGTCCCTGCACTAAGGCTCCCTGTAGTCTCAGGACTGAATGCTACAAGTGCAGCAAAAGGGACTGTGGACTTTCCATATAGTTTCTCTATTTCTTATTCTAAAGGTGGGTGCAATCCTTGTCTTAAAGAATTTTACAGTTTAAGGAACTGCCGTCTTCCTGGGAGCAAGATATAAAATAACAACGTGCTGATAAATATGGCACATGGTCTTACTCTACTGTGGATGTATTAAAGTACAGATGGTGTACTTTATGAGTTCCTAGAATTACCATAGGAAGTATGTGGTCCTCAAGCTGTTCATATATGATTAAAAAAAACGCCTGTTTTTCAGATTTTGGCCAGTGAGGTTGGCTTTGAGAACATCTAAACCCTAAGGGAAATGCAGCAGACATTTCCCCGTTTCATTGGTTTCATGAGTTCCAGCCAATAGAATATAACCTGGTTTCCACTTCAAGTTCTCATCTAACTTAGGAGTTCGCAAAATTAGTTGAATGTAGCCTGATATCTGCATTGTTAGGCATGTTATCTGATTTCGTTGCAGAAGTTTTAGTGCAGTTCTAAATATTGAACACTGTCACCCACTAGGTCAGGTAAATTCATTTAGTGATAGATGTTGCCTAGCATAATTGTCCTAAGTGATCAGAAATCTAATCTGAGCCTGATGTCTGCACGGCTCTGCAATGAATAATGCAGTAGAAGTCTGGACTGCCCCTTGCACAGACCTTTTATCTGAATGCAAAAATCTTTCACTCATGTGAAGTAGAAGACTCTGACAGTGAGAGAGAAATGCAGAAATTTAACTTTTACTAGAATGAGTCATTGTTTTTCATGTCTTGCAAATAAATTGTTTTATTTTTGTACCTTTTTTTGCACCTGTTGTGGTTTAACCCCAGCAGGCAACTAAGTACCACACAGGCGCTCGCTCACTCCCTCCCCCTCCCAGTGGGATGGGGAGGAGAAATAAAAAAAAAGTGAAACTCATGGGTTGAGATAAGAACAGTTTAATAACTAAAATAAAATACAGTAATAACAGTTGTAATGAAAAGGAATATGACAAGAAGAGAGAGAAATAAAGCCCAAGAAAAGACTAGTGGTGCACAGTGCAATTGCTCACCACCCGCTGACCAATGCCCAGACAGTCCCTGAGCAGCAATCGCCCCCCCCTGCCAGCTCCCCCCAGTTTATGTACTGGGCATGACTATCCCTTTGGCTAGTTTGGGTCAGCTGTCCTGGCCATGATCCTTCCTGACTTCTTGTGCACCTCCCTGCTGGCAGAGCATGGGAAACTGAAAAATCCTCAAGTGCTACTTATCAACAACTGAAACATCCCTGTGTTAGCAACATTATCTCACACTGAATCCAAACTGCAGCACTGTACCAGCTACTAGGAAGAAAATTAACTCTATCCCAGCTGAAATCAGGACAGCACTGTATAAAGAGCGTTTAAATGTGTGGGAAAAGCCACAGAAGCAGCAGTTTGATGGTCTGTCTTGTGCCTGCATTATATGGATAAAGAATTTCAATTAAAATTCATGTCTGGTTTTCTCCAGTTGTGCCTTTTCCACCAATTTTCATGTGTGTCATGGAATGGAAAGACTCCTTATTCCTTTTTTCTCCCCTTGATGGCTGTAAAAGTGATTGTCAGGATATAATGACAAAACAGAACAGGGGTTTATTTTGCTCATTCTTTTTTATCTGACTTCATCCTTTTTGAGTTTTTCAAGTCTTCAAAATGTATGCATAAAAAGCAATCCTGTATTAAAAAAAATGAGGCAACTTGCTTCAGTTGATTTTAGTGCTATGAATTCAAAAGACTGAAAGTCTATTGAGTAAAGCTTGTGTTTAGTTGAGAGAGTATTTACTCACTGCCCCACTGATTTCAGGACATAAATTAATAAGAAGCTGTAAGAACCTTGCAATGTTTCTATGCACAGAGTTGAAACTTAGTTGTGAAAGTGTTGGTTCTTCGACGATGCCTGCAAACGCACCTCGCAGCGAGCGGATCAGACCTAACGCCTGCTCTGACTCGGTCCTCCTGGCAGGCTTCGCGTGTTAAAGAAGGTCTCCTCTGGCCAGCTGTGAAGGGCTGTGGCCACTCAAATCAGCATCCAGCATCTTGACTTTTAGTAGTAGTGAAAGACTTACTTGCAGCAGTAACGTGCACTTAGCTTATGATATCAATAGTTCTTTTTTTAAGGTGCTGTTTATGCAGATAAGCTTTGCCTCTAGCCATTTCTCTTACTTTAAGCTGCAGCTGCAGAAGAATCATTTGAGCTTTCTGAGTTAAAGAAGCAAAAGAGAGGAAACATGATTTAGTGCTGACTGAATTTGTTTGGGAACTGGTGTTGGGTTCTTTTGTGAAAGGGCCCACCTGGTTCTTTGGTGTAGATGGAACCATCCAGACCAAGCTGTGTGGTAAATGGTGTAGGCAGAATATTTGCTGGCACTTACTGTATAAGATCTGCTGAGTTGTTTGCTCTGAGCTGTGTGCTCTGAGAGCCTTTTCCCCTCACATTTGCATGTTGCTCGTGAAAAAGAATTAGATAAGGAGCTGTATGCAAAATCAGCCAAGGAGCTCTCGGTAGGTAGTGCTAGCAGTTACTATCTGTTAAAGTCACTCCAGAACTGAAAGGACTGAGGCTTAAATTGTGTTTTCTTACCATTGCCCTCAACGAGGGTCATGCAGACTGCATACTTCCTTCGGGGCACTGAGCGTGTACTGGGAAGAAGTTCCTGGCAGTGGAAAGAAAGGGAGAGAGCTGATCTCTCTCCTCTGCAGCCTAGGTCCCAGGTGAATTGCTCCTATGGAGTGACTGATGTGCTAGAAAATTCATGGGCAATGGAACGAGAAGGAAGGGCGCTTTGTTCCTTTTCCTCCCATCATAGCTATGAGCATGCCAGTCAGTTCAGCAGCTAAATAAACAAGCATTTATTCTGCTCTTTCTTCAGGCAGTCATCTTCTCATTTGAATTGTTTAAGATTTTCATTGTTTGAGAAGGCTCAGGGGGACCTTATCAATACCTGAAGGGATGGTGCAAAGAGGGTGGAGCCAGGTTCTTCTCAGTGGTGCCCGGTGACAGGACCAGAGGCCACAGGCACAAACTGAAACACTGGAGGTTCCCTCTGAACATCAGGAAAGACTTTTTCACTCTGAGGGTGACTGAGCACCGGCACAGGTTGTCCAGGGAGGTTGTGGGGTCTTCACTCTTGGAGATATTCAAAAGCCATCTGGATGCAGTCCTGGGCCACTGGCTCTAGCTGGCCCTGCTTGAGCAGGGCATTGGACCAGATGACCTCCAGAGGTGCCTTCCAACCTCGGCCACTCTGTGACTTGAAATGGCCTCTTTCCCAAGTAAGAGCTTCAAAATCAGCTTGTCGGAAATCTTGTTGGTAAATGGTCTCTGTGTTTTAACAGGTGAAGGCAATGTGGAGGTTTGATCCTCGTTAGTAAAAGGAATGATGGTTCAGAAGCAGAACACATTGTGTACAAAGCAGGAAGACCCTTTCTCTTTGAGGCACCTATGAGTGCCTCTGTTCAGAGATGGCTCAATTATTCTGTGTTTCTAAGAACAGCATGGGTTCTGTTCACTGGCACAGCTCACACCCAGGAGCGAATGACACAGCGTCTGTGTCTTCTCTATTTCTACTTCTCGTTTGGACAAATAGGTTGTGGTGTCCAAGTGCTCCGTAAGTAGTGAATCAGTGGAAAGAACCCAAAAGGAATGGGGATGAGGGAGAAAGAGGAAGATGGTGAGAAGGAAGGAAAATAAAAATGCTGGAGGGAAAAAACTTCATGATGAATGACAATACGCACAGCAGAAGGTTGGTGACAGGAGAGGGTGATTGTATGAGATTGAACCTAGATACAGAGTGAACTGAGGTGAATGGAATACGACCTTGGTATCTCAGTCATTTTGTAATTTACAGCTCAATCTTCTCCTGGGCCTGCCAGAGCAAGAGGACCACACAGGAGTTTGGTGACAATAAGACAACAGGAATTAAAGCTCACTGGCCCTTGCCTTGGTTCCTTTTACAAATATTTATTCTTGCTGTGTAAATAAAGAATAAACAAGGGAGGAAGTATTAAGTTTGAGTCAATAAGTTAAGGTCCAAGTAGAAAGATCCACTTCACCTGTGGTGTTTCCTGTACATATTATATTGTCTCTGAATATTGCATTTCATCAACAACTTTAGGAAATCACATCTGCTAAATATTTTACTGGTGAATATTATAATATCTTCAAAAGATAATGTTCAAGAGGCTTCCCATTTAATTTCTTTTTTTTTAGTGACATTTTCTGATCACAGTGTAAAGCAGAAAATATAATTCAGACTATGAAACAGGGTTACTGTAAGGAATCAAATATTTTACTGACACTAGCAGCAAACCCCTTTTACACAAGAGCTCCACAATAGAAGTCAGTAAAATTTCTTCGGTAATGTTTTCAGCTAAATCAACGGTTATTAATCTTATTGTCATAGCAAAGTAAATGTGACAGCATTGTCAGAGTATGTTCTCTCTTTAAAGTTTGTTGCTTTTTTCTCTCGCCCCCCCCCATTTAACAGAACAACTGTTAATAAAAATGGAATTTACCAGTTTGAACAGGCTTCAAAATGTAAGGCAATTCAGGACAACATTTTGTCATCATCTATCAAGAAGAAAAGGTAAGTGTTTGCTGTGCTTTCTGCTTTGTTTGTTTTAAATAGAAGGGTAAAAGATTGTCCTCTTTTACATAATTCTCAATGATATTGATGTGGAGCTATTAAACAGGATACGGAAATTGTTCAACCAATTTTTGCCTGCATTTTTTCTTTCACATTAATTAGATTTATTCAAGGTTGGATTTTAGTATTTTTTTCACAATACAAGTCAACAAGATTTCTCCTTGCCAGTTAGCAACGTTTTATTCCAAGATACTCACAAAAAGGTTGAACAGAATCTGTGAGATGTAATTTCATTCTTGAGTGCCTTTTTCCTGATTGGCGAACACTCCTGCTATGAGCAACCTCAGTTAATGGATTCTTTTCAGCATATTCACTAGAGTAAGTATGGAAATGTACTAGTATAAAAACTTGCTAATTAATTGCACTCATTATAATAACTAGTCCACAGGAAACTAGTCATTCGATATTAAATACATTGAAAAAACACCCCAAATTACGTTTGGCTTCAACTTGCTGTTCTGACTTTTCCTGACGTGGAAAAAAAATCTTTGATATCAGCCCTGCTCAAATTCCTTGCCACTTTCTAAAGTGAATATGGGAGAAGCAGCCCATTGCTTTTGACATGTACAATTTGCCTATATGGATGCACCAATAAATAAAGCATTGTAAATAAGAAAGGCTTCCCAATAGAACTGAGTTCCAGGTTAAAATTAATTATGTGCCGTTATATGCCATGGTGTCCTTAAAATTGGAAGCTTTTTTTTTTTGTTTCCCCCTCCGTTTGTGAAGAGAAGAAAAATGGAATGAGAAAAAAAGCTGTGCTAAGAATAATTATGTGCCTTGCCCCGTTCAAAGGACTGGAGAAGTCAAATTTTTCCTTAATACAGAAGCAACATTAAATCATGATTTTAAAACGTCTCCTGTCTTTTCTGCTCCCTCCTCACTTTCTCTTTGCATTTTAAGATCTTTCACCTGTTGTTTTAAGTCACCATATTCCCAGCATTCTGTCTTTACTCTTTTAATTCTTTCTTTTTTTCCCCTTCTCTATAACCTCTTCTCCCACCAATATTCCACCTCATCAGCAATGCTAGCATTGAAGTTTTTACTCTTTTGAAAGGTGGTAGACCACCATGGTACTGATTTGCTGCTAGGGAGAGCTGAAACAGACTGGCAAACAGAGGTCAAAAACTACAGTTGACTGAAAAAATGAGTGATTAACACCAAGGGAAGGACAACCAGTCACTGTATTGCCACCAAAATCCAGTTATAGCAAAATAATGCTGTCATTTATCCCATGTGTTACGAAGATGTACAGGCTGCAGCAGTGCAGCCGTGCTCTTTGTATCTGGAACGTTTTGGAACTGAGATTGTAGGAGAAACTATGAAGTGTGAGGCCTTTATGCTGTGGCTAAAGAGAAAGGAGCTGCACTATTTAACAAAGCAGAAGATGAATTGGGCAGATAGGAAGAGAAACTGGTGCTTGGAACAAAGGAGCAAGGGATTGCTTTGTGCCGTGAATATTGCAACTCATTGCCCTTTGCTGAGAGAAGCTGCAGGGATCTTTATTGTTTTAAGGTGCGACCCACAGACATGGTATATAAATGCTTTATATTGCAGTTCTAGGCTTTCAGGGACATTCTGGACACTCTTGCCTCTTAAGTTGACAGAAAGGGAAAAAAAGCACTAGTTTAAAGCTTGTCAAATGATTTGATAGTAAAAAATGCTATGTAAGTGGGAAGTTATTGCTAGAGCAGATATGTGCTGGTGGTGATAAAGAGCCTGAAATGCTGAGTTTTGCTGGCAGTTTTCCATTTTTATTCTAGAGCAAGCCCTGTGCACACTCTCCTGAGGGCTTTAGTTTTTTTGGTAGTATTAACGTGTCCAAAGGCAAAAGGAAAAAAATCCTCCTTTTCTCTTGCATTTCCTGCAGTTGTTTGGTTTTTTTAATTTGCTTATTTCTTGAACATAAGGTGCCAAGCAGGAGTATCTCTTTTTTTCACTCGTGCTGCTCAGTTTTCCTCCTAATCCAGCTTTTTTTCAAGTAAGTGTTTAGTTTTAGCAAGTAACCAGTGGGGCTGCATCCTTCTCTGTTCTGACATTTTACCTATTGTCTCCCTACTATCTCAACACTTCTGTCCTTGCTGTTGTCCTTTAGTTATCTGTCAAAAGTTAGAAGATACTTATACTTTGTCAGTGCCTTGACTGTGCATAGTAATTCCACCTTAGCCACTGCAGTTAATGTAGAAGGTCACTGTATACCTGACAAGTAGTATAGGCAAAAAAACATTTCAAGTGTTATTTGTCAGCAAGGCTCATACAGTATGAGTGAGTCTTCTACAACTGCAAGTTATAATAATGGTTGTGATGCAGGTGGCAGACAAAACCAGGACGAAACATGTTTCATTCACTATTCTCAGCACTGGAATTACTGTCTTGTCCACGTATTTTTATGGTTCAATTTACCTGAGCTTTTTTATCCTAATACCTTTTAGCATCAGTGAATGTGTGCTGTAAGCTCCTGGATGCCAGTGGAAATATATGTATTGTCCTAGCTCTCTGAAACAGAACAGTGGAGAAGAGGACTGTCTGGGTTAGAGCAGAGCCATGAAATGATACCCTGATGGCCTTCTGGACTGATTCCATTGGAGGAGTGAGTCCCCAAGGCTCCTTTGCAGGAGGAAATGCTAACATAGGCTTTTTGAGAGGAAATCAAGGCTTTCTGGGCTGTAAACCCAGCTGCAGCAAATCCCACAGCTTCACTTTGAGTCTTCAGAAAATTTAATCTATGGGAATATTGTGTGTATTCAAGAAGAGTTCATTTCGTAGAAGCCTTATATTGGTGCAACCAGATGTGACGGCTGCCTTGCAGAGCTGCTGCAGTCAGGAGCTCCTGTCCTCCAGGACATGCTGCTGGGATGTCTCTGCTGCTTGCGGTGCTGTGCCAACGCTGGCAAAGACGAGTTCTGACAGTCCATAGTGTCTTTGTAAGTCACATGAGGAGCAAAACTGGATGCATAGGGTGAGCAGAGGTGATGTTTTGCCTTGTAAAGACCTGTAAGTTGTGCTTTTCTGGGTGAGCTGGTGAGCTTAGACACCTTCAAGCAAGAGTGATTCCATCCAGCAGACAGCAGTGGAAAGGCAGTGATGTTCTTGCATTGTAATTGGTGTTTTTACCCTAGGTGCAGCCTCTGTTACCTGTGTAAGAAGGTCCTTACAGTTTCTGACAGTGAGTGCCTGTGTTTCTCATGAGGCCTCAGAAGCAACATTATGGATGATGCTTTGATTTTTCTCCTTACCAAATGTTTCCCTGTAACTTACTAATAACTTCTCAGTCCATGCAATTTCTTTCTGAGCTGATGGTAGTTTTTCTTTTAATTTCTGACTCTGATCTGCATCTTATCAATATCTTTAGGCTAGAATTTGCTCTTTCTATATTTTTTTTCTCCTGGATAATGATAGCCCAAGTAACTCTTCATGCCCTATTATCCTATCAATTTTTGGAATTTTTCCGTTAAGTCCGAGCGTCTAAGGGTTATTTATTGTTTAGCCTTAAGGAATGAAACTAGATGAGTGATTCAACATCAGCATAGGCTATTTCAGTCCTGTGCTTGTGTCCCAACCTCCTCCCACATGCACTCACTGTCCTGCCCTGTGCTGATACTGACACTTGCCTGATCCCATGGTGTGCCAATTTAGGTAGCAGCTTCAGCAAGAAAATAGTTCCATTTTCTCGGGCTGCAGTTCCAGTTGCTAATACAACCTACCAGCAGGCGGCTGCCAAAATAGGAAGGCCTTGTTCCCAGTTTCTCTGCTCCCATCACTCCTTGCTTATACTGGCTGTGGTGTTCGATGTAATCTTTCCTGATCTGGTTTAACTCACTAAAGAAGAAGATGTATATGCGTATTTTTTTTTCCCTTCTGGGTTATTTTTTTGCCGTGACGGTAAATTAAAGTGGCCTATAAAGGCATTTGACAAGTCCAAAAGCTGGCAAAACCAAAACAGAAGTGGAGTCAGTAAGTACCAGCGGTGGCACAAGGCAGAGAACACATTGAGAGTTGGACTGGAAGGAGGAAGAATGTACTGCATCAGGTCAGATC